TAATTTTCTGGTATATTCACTATACAACAATTCAATGAATTACAAACTTTTGGTTTATGTACTTTTCATTAAAAACATTATGTTTTCATAAAAACTATACTTAGCAAGAAGCATTTTTCTTCTTTTAAATTTTTTTCTAAAAAGCATTTGTGAACAAGAAATCTGTCATTATTTGTTAATTTATTTTATGTTGCCTTGAGCCACTAGGAATTTAAGGTGGTTCTAAGGTAACAGATGCAGTCAATTCTAGATTATTCAAATTGAAGTATTGAAGTTGGAAACATCTATGTGCAGGAACTGCCTTCACCACTTCGTGACTCCATATCAGCTTCTTTGACTAATCAAGCACCAATAAGAAGTGCATAGCTTACATGAAAAGCCTTTTTTGCATATTATCCTCAATCTTCAGAAAAGGTAGAAATAAGAAGTAGAATTCTAAAATTAAAATTAAATTGATAATATTCTCAAAAGCCCTTCAATTTCTATTGTGGTTATTTTTCAAAACAATAAGATCAACCCTTCTAGGGATTCATCTGCTCTCAATCTTATGAATTCATAACAGGTTTCCCCATGTATTTCAAATTTTCACCACTGACTCTAGACTCTGGTCTATTGCAAACTAATATAAGTAATTACAGCAAAGGAAATCACTGTGATTCATTGTCTTATCATCAATAGATACAAGCAGTCTTTTTAAAAAACATCCTTATAAGCAACTCTCTATAACCTAAACTCTTCTGAAGAAATATGAAAGAAAAATTGCCCTGGACTCTTGATAGGTCAGACTACAATAAGTCATGTAAACAATTAGCACTTCAATAAAAGCTTCAAAAGGTTGATTCTCAGATTCACATTTCACAACTAAAATGAAACCTTTTCTCTGGGCTGTTGCAAATAAGTCCATCTAGAAACCCTAAAATGGAGTTTTCAGAATCCTCCAAAAGAACATGAACATGATCTTTGGAAGAAACAGCTAACCAATGACTCTTAGAAAAAGCCTCCACCCAAGAACAAAAGAGGATTGATTTTTTTGAAATCTCTGCTCCTCCTTTTTAAGATTCTTTGGTTAAGTGTAAATTTTTTTTACTATTGTACATCAGCATCTGTGTTGATTTTTTGTCCCTGTTACAAATATCTGAGAAAAACAACTTATAGGAGGAAAGACTTAGTTTGGCTCATAGTTTCAGTCCATGGCCAGCTGGCTCCATTGCTTTGGACCTGAGTAAGGCAGAACATCATAGCAAAAAGGTATGGTGGAAGAAGGCTGTTCATACCATGGCAGCCAGGAAACAGAGAGACGGAGAGAGAGAGAAGGAGAAAGAGAGAAGTGTCAAGGACAAAAAACCCTTCCAGGGAATGCCCCAAGTACATACTTCCTCCAACCATGCCCCACCACCTAGTTTCCACTACCACCCAGTTGTCCTTTAGGTATCAATGGGTTAATCCACTGATAAGGTTGGTGCCTCCATAATCCAATCACTTCTCAAAGCCTCACCTCTGAATATGTTGGATTTGGGACCAAGTCCCGAACACATAAGACTTTGAGGAGCATTCCATATCCAAACCATAACATTGCACTTCTGGACCCCAAAGCCTCATGCCCATCTCACAATGCAAAATGCACTGAGTCTATCACCTAGAGTCCCAATAGTCTTAATGGTTCCAGCATTGCTCAAAAGTCCAAGTCCAAAGTCTCCAGAGACTCAAGGCAAACTCTTAGCTGTGAGCCCCTACGAAAAAAAAAATCAAAAAACAAGTTACATATTTCCAACATAAAATGGCACATTCCAAAAAAAGGGGGAATAGGAGAATGCAAAGAACGGACAGGATCAAATCAAAATGAAAACCCAGCAGGGCAAACATTAAATCCACATTCAGCATCCAGGGGACATGGTGGCAAGATGTGGGCCCCAATGGACTGGTACAGGACCTGCCCAACGGCCTAGCCAGTTGCAGCCCACGAGGCGTCTCTCTTGGCTAGCTCTGCTCTCTACCTTCAGCTTTCCTCAGTAGATGTTCCACATTCCTATCTCTTATTTCTTGATGTCTCCATTGCAACTTTGGCTTCACTCTCACAGCTTAATGAATTGCCCTTTTAGGAGCTGCCTGTAAGAATTCTGACCCTGACACAAATTACCTGGCCTGCCAGGCCTTTCTTTAACATCCTGGTGGAAACCTCCATGACCTTATAACTCCTGCAAAACCACCATGTGGATGACACCAAGGTCTGCTGCCAGCAGAGCAGTAATGCAGCCCACTTGTACCACTGCTGCAGTGGCTTCTGAGTGCCTGGACAGGTGAGCACAGTGAAACAAATACTGGAGAGAAAACTGCCTAGGTGGTCACATCTAAGCAGAGTGCCCCAGCATACTTTTCTCAAAGCAAAGTCTTTCAAATGAGTTTTCAATTTTATATCCTTTAGCCTGAGATGGATAATATCTTGCTGATTCCTGAGATGCCTTCAAGATATCTTTCCTATTATCTAGGTACAAAACACTTCCTTTCTCCTTCCCTCCCTCTCCCCAATCCACCGGCCTTGCCTTTTTTCTTTTTCTTTTTCTTTTCTTTTTTTTTTCTTTTGAGGCAGGGTCTCACCAAGTTGCCCAAACTGATCTCAAACTTGTAATATTCCTGCCTCTGTCTCAAGTTGCTAGAATTACAGGCATGTGCCACAATGCCCAGCTTCCTTTCTTTTTAATGGCATAACTTCTTCAGCAACTACACCTTCCTTAGCCCCAATTTTATACTCCTTTTTCTGGACAAACTGAAAGGTTTTTCAATCTTTCTGCTCTGCTTTTTGCTGCTGATTATGGCCATAAACTTGGCTAAAAGCCACCAGCAATACCAAGGCCAGTGCTTTAACGTTGTACTGTCTTGAAATTTCCTCCAACAGATTAACTAATCCATTACCTTTAAATTTAGCCTCATACAAAGGACATGGACAAAATGTAGGTCAGTTCTTTGCCAGAATGTAATACGTGTAGCCTCTAGTCCAATTCCCAATTATCCTCATTCCCATCTGAAATTTCATACGAACAGTCTTTACTCTCTACATTCCTGTTGGCATTCTGATCTTCTAAACTCACATCAGAATGATGTATTAAGCTCTACTTGCAATATTCTAAGTTTTCTCTGTCCTGCATTTCCAAACTTTTCCAAACTCCTCTCACAAACCAGTTCCAAAGGTTTCTGAACCACAGATCAGGTATAGTCACAACAATGACCCCACTTCTCATACTAATTTTCCATATTACTTATCTTTCCATCAGTGTGACAAATACCTGAGAAAAATTATTTAGAGGAGAAAAGATTGATTTTTGGCTCACGATTTCAGAGGTTTCAGTCCACAGTTAGCTGGTTCCATTGCTTTGGGCCTGAGGTGAGGCAGAACATCATAGTAGAAGGATATAATGGAAGAAAGCTGATCAACTCATGGCAACCAGGAAGCAGAGAGGGAGGAAAAGACCAGGGACAAGAAAAACCTTTGCAGGGCATGGTCTCAGTGACTAACTTATTCCAACTAGAACCCACTGCCTACAGTATCCACCACCTCTTAGTAGTCCATTCAACTATGAATGGATTAATTCACTAATAAGGTCAGAGCCCTCAAGATTCAAACACCTCCCAAAAGCCCCACCTCTGAAAACTGTTGCATTGGGGACAAAGCTTTCAACATGTGAGACTTTGGGGAACATTCCAGACCTAAGCCATAACAGCATCCCTAGTGATAAACCAAAAGTTTCTTAGTATGCTTTCATATATTTTCACCATAATTGCTCTTAATCTTCTGTAGTTTTTCTTTGGCACCAAAGAGAAGGCAAAAATCTACCTGTAATCTCACTGATAAAAATAACTATACCTTGAAACACTGCAAATGGCAAATTTCTTTCCCAAGGACACTTCTATATTTGAATTATCTTCATGTTATTAACCCTAACCTTTCATCCTTAAAAAATTAGGCTTTGATCCTAATCATTAAAGCATTTCATTAAAGCATTTTAGTAGAACCAACAATGCCAACAGTGGGAACTAATATTAGAGTTATTCTTGTTGCAAAAGGTATTTCTCAGGCAAATCTCAACTTTGGGCATTATGAAATTTTCACCTAAGGAAATAAATGAGAATCAAATATAAGCTAACTATAGTGGATATTACTACTGCTCATTATATAAGAGGTTGCCTGTATTCCTGAGAACATGGGAAGACATTCTAGACTTCCTTGCACTTAGTTAAGAGCATTATGACAAGTCTGGGTCAATAGGGTATAAGCAAAAATGACCTGTTACTTTTCTCTTACACAATTTTGGAATAAGTATGAATTGTGAACAACTTTTTAAAGTATTTTTTAAATTTAAAAGAAGTACAATTAACATGTTTTTAATGTTTCCGGTCAATGTGAGAATAAATTACTATGCTTCCCAAATTATACTTTATAGCCCAAAACTGTTCAATGAAACAAGATTCAGTGGTCAAAAAGTTTACTATATAGCATATGTCTTAATATACTTGAAGCATATTTAGGGTTTCAGAATTATTAGAATAAATAAACCTGCTTAACTTCTTAAAAATAACCTTTCCAAAACTATTTGACCAAAGATTGAAGTTAGAAGTTAGTACCTCTCTAATGTCCTCTTAGAACATCTGTTGAAAACAGCACATTCTGTAATACACTGCGTTACTGGAGAAAGATATTTTACGGGACAAATATGGTTTTACATTATTTACACTAAAATTGGGAAAAAAATCTCTTCCTTTGATATATATATATATTATATATGTGTGTGTATACATATACATTTATATATGTATATATGTATGTGTGTGTGTGTGTGTGTATTTTCCAAGGAATAATTTAAAAAGAAACATCAAAAATCTACCCTAACAATCTTCCTATATATGGGCACACTATTCTTATTCCAAGGGCAGTATTTTAATAAATACTTATAAATATGTTATACTATCAGAGATAATATTTAGTCTATATAGATCAGCTTACTTACGTCTGGGGTTCCTTTTCATTTTGTTGTTTTTGCTGGGGCTGAAGAACGTTATTTACCAGTTCAGTGATCCCACTAAAGGGAAACCACCTGTTTAAATAAGCAAATAATGTAACTGAATAACCAAATGAATAACAATGTAGATTAGATGTTTTCTTATCCATAATAATAAAAATACACAGGCACAAAAGCTACAGCCAATGGAAATGTGAGCTCCAATTATCATCCAGGCAGTCAGAATATAGGGAAATCAAGTTTGAACACTTAACCAGTCCACAAGCAGGCAGCAAAAAACTACATCCAGTCACTATGTGGATGAAGTAAGAAGCTGCAGGCAGCTCTCTTACAAGCCAGAGAGTCAGAAAGCAGAAGACACACTAGCTGCAGCCTATCCAGTATTAGTGTAAGCTAATACCATCAAAGGTGCAGGAAGCAGAATGTGGCAGAATTACAGAAGTCAAGTCTACTGCACTTAATACATTTACTTACTGTGTCGGTTGTGGTTTGTATTCTTCTTTGACCCTAAAAAAATAAGTTTGCACAACTGAGTGCACTGTACTAGGAAGAAATTTCTCTCTACAGATTTGTGGTCATATATAATGGACATAAAAAATTAGGGTTGTTACATATAAAAACTTAGTGTTTCACTGTCTATTGGAATTACACATTTCAATCAATTTTATACAAAAAAGAGAAGTTAAATCATTGATTCTTATATTAAAATTCTAATACTATTTTAAAAGAATGATTTAGTCCTAAAGTTTTCTGCATATTTTTATTGCCACTGAAGCTTTTAAAATGATTCTTTTGGGGCAACATATTAAACAAATGTATATTAAGTTACCTGAAAATAGACTTCCTTTTTTGCTTTCTAAATTTATTCTTTAATATAAGTTTAAATAAAGACATAAATCTTTTAATTAAAATAGAATTTTATGAATAAATTTTTAAAAGCCTTATAAATGGATTTTTTAATGCTTAAACGAGTAAATAAAAGAATTGGGGAAATACGAATCCTGTCTCTTTAATTAAAGTAGCTCCTAAAAGTATATTAAATTTAAAATATTTGTAAGTTAAATTATTCACAAATACCATAATAAAAATAAATTTAAATAAATACTATATAAATAACTATAATCAAATCAAGTGCTTTGCTTTCAGTCCTATAAGGTTCAACAGTCTTATCTAAAACCATATACAGAAAGAAATCCTGCTAATTCTTAGATAAGAATTAATTTTTATATTGCCAAATCTATGAAATCACAGAAACTGGTCCATAAGTAGGCATTAAAATCATTATGTATATGACATGAACAGACATACCCAACTAAAAAACAAAACAAAACAAAAAAAATCTCACCTCATGTGATACCCTTAAATGAGTCAATCTTGGCATTAGTGTTATTCACTCCTTGTTGTATGCTTTTATTAAGGTTAAATTAGTCCTTCTTCAGACCAACTAGTGTATATACTATTTTCACAATATTCAGGAAATGGAGGGCAAACTAGACCAATATAGAACACTGGATAGCAAAACAAAATATGACTGGATATTTAAAAGGTAAAGAAGCATTATGCACAAGGTAGTGAAGACTTCTGAAATCTGGATTCCAATAATTTGCCTAAAACTGGTCATGAGAAGTACATCTATGACTCAACAATTGTTCATTAGCTTTTACTTTCTTAAAGACTAAGAATTGATAACTAAATCTGGTCACTAACTAGGACTTTCTTTAATTAGTAAGTTATAGCAATAAGTTAAATTAAATCTTCTCTTCAGATCAAATTTCTTTTCTTTTACAGTATTTATTTTTTTAATGATATAAGCAATAAATGAAAAAGTCATACCATTATATTATATATTTTTGTGTACTGATGAATGAATATAATTGGTAACTATGTATCTCTGCATCAACCATAAAAGAATATCATGTATTCTCTGCATAAACTTCAGAGTGAAAGTTATATCCTAGAGCTAAAATCACATAATTTATTATTTAAATATAGTCACATAATGAATTCATATTTAAAAGATTTATTTATCACCAAATAGCATAGAAGTAATCAAACACAAGAAAACCAAGACATCTAGGATTTTGTATTTCTTCAAAAATAAGGCAAAAATCTCTTTAGAATAAAACAACTCATAAATAAACAAAAAGATAAGGCAAAGAAAGACTACCATATTGGCTCATCAAAATATATTAAAAACAAATATTGAATAAGTATGTAAATGCAAAGATATTTCCTGAAGAAGTCCTTTGTGACAATATGCAAAAATTCATGTTGCTCTTAAATATGTGAAGAAATATTCAACATCTCTAGCAATCAGAGAAATGCAAACCAAAACTACACTAAGATTTCATCTCACTCTTATCAGAATGGCAATGACCAAGAATATGAACAAAATAAATGCTGGCAGGTTGTAGGGAAAATGTACACTTGTACATTATTTGGGGGGCTGCAGACTACTACAATCCCTCTGGAAAGCAGTATGGAGATTCCTCAAAAGACTAGGGATGTTCCACCATATGACCCATGCCTTGGTATTTCCTCCAAAGATTTTAAATCTGCATACTACAGCAATATATCCATCTCAATGTTTATAGCAGCACAATTCACTAGAGCTAAACTATGGAATCAACCCAGATGCCCAACAATAGATGAAAGGATTAAGAAACTGTGGTACACACACACACACACACACACACACACACAATGGAGTTCTAATCAGCCATTAAAAAGGGATGAAATTGGGATAGGGATATAGCTCAGTTGGCAGAGTGCTTGCTTCCCACGCACAAGGTCCTGGGTTCAATCCCCAGCACCACCAAAAAAAAAAAAAAAAAAAAGAATTAAATTATGGCATTTGCTGGTAAATGAATGGAGAATATCATGTTAAATGAAAAAAGCCAAACTCAAAAATCAAATGTTTTCTCTCATATGCAGAAGCTAGAGCAAAATAGGGAAATATAAGATTTTTTTAAATCATGTTGCTCTTAATCAGTGATAAAAGTTTTTATCCTGAACACATTGATATTAATCTAGTTTCCAATTTAATTACTAAACCAGAAATCATTTCTGGGCTTTACAAAATACCTACATATTAAATATATAAACATTTGTATAATCTTCCCAAATAAAATACGTATTATACATACTGCAGTATACTTTATATATCTTTAAATATTATTGAATATAAATTATTCATATCCTTATTGCCAATATTTAGATAAAATCAAATCTGAAAGTATGCGGACATAATTAATATTCATGTTGAAACAATAAATTAAGAATTGATTAATAAGAGATATGATAAATCATTGTATAATGGTGTATTAAGAATCTTAATGCAAAATAAATAAATTTTTTAAAAAGAAGTGATAATATGAAAAGGTAATTATTTCACATATTTCTCTGACAGAACATTAACATTGACAATGATTCCTATGTTCTTGCATTCCAAAAAGTTTATGAGAAACTTCTAGTTTCCAGTCCAACCAGTTAACAGCTTGGAAATTGTCATTCCCATTCTCACACTAAAAAAAAAAAAAGGCTGAAAATTAACAACTCTCCATGGAGCCACTGAAGAGTTAAAGTCACAGGCCAAATGGCTGCCATAAAACCAGACAGACTGATAAGCAAACACAGAGCATCATAGCTTACCATGAGCAGAGGCCCAGTAGCACAAACCTGTTTATCTGTATAAACACTTAACTATAATTGCTGAATTCTGCTTATAATTGCTGGATTATGCTGAGGTGCATGTGGAAGATACAAAACAACAAGAGTTGCCTTGATTTATAATGACCCTCTCTCACGTAACTAATTCATTTCCATGAGGACTATATCAATCCCTCTTAACCACCTAATTAACCTCGTAAGGTCCTACCTCCAAACACTGTTAAACTGGAAAACAGATTTCAATATAATTTTCAAAAGGAATAAATCATATAATGCTGAAGAATTTACACCTCAGTTTATCCCATTCAAACTGCAAAAAACTAGACAAAGGCAATTAGAAAAAACTTGAGAGAAAACACAACAATTGTTATATATAGAAAAATCCACTTAAATATATATTTTAAAAATAGACTAACAGTAAAGGGATGGAGAAAGATGTATATACTAACAGTAACAAGAAGAAATTAAATTATCTACATTCATTTCAAACAAAGACAACTTTAGAGCAAGGAAAATAATCAAGGAAATGAAGGGCATTTCATAATAATAAAGAGGTGAATTCCCCTAGAAGACATAGCAATCTTTACTTACATGTACCTAACAGCAAAGACTCAAAGTATAGTAGGCAAAACTTGATATACCCACAACAAGAAAAAGATGAATCCTCTATAACAGTTAAACTCTTCCTACCTTTATCAGTTAAGTGATATGTCCAGCTGGCAGAAAATTAGTGAAGATACAGTTGAACTAAACAGCACTATCAACAAAATGGATCTAATTAACATCCTATAATGCTTCAATAATAGCAAACACACATCCTTCTTAAGTTAACATGAAACAATCACCAAGACAGAACACTTGTGGAGGGGGCATAAAATACACTGTAATGAATTTAAAAGAATACAAATCACACAAAGTATGCTCTGTGTTAACAATGGAATTAAACTAGAAATCTATAACAAAACTACAGCATAAAATCCCAAAATATCTAATATTAAACAACTTACTTCTATTTAATACATGTGTCAAAGAAGAAGTCTCAAATGCATTAGAAATATTTTGAACTAAATGAAAATGCAACCTATCAAACTATGCAATATAGATAAAGCAGAGCTTAGAAACTTCTAGAATTCAATGTATATATTATAAAACATCTCTAAAATCAACAAATTAAGCTTCTTCCTCAGTAAACTATTAAAAGTACAATATAAAATAAACAGAAAAAAATAATAAAAATGACAGATGAAACTTTAAAAAGGAACTCAACAGACAAAGTAACACCAAAATCCACTTCTTTGAAAAGGCCAGTAAATTAACAAACGCCTAGCTAGGATAAAAAAGAAAACACAAATTACTAATATCAGAAATGAAAGAGTAGTTCATCAGTACTGATCTCATTAGAAAGATAATAAAAGTATTAGGAACAAATTCTATGCCACAAATTTGATAATATTGATGAAATAGACCACTTCCTTGAAAGATACAATCTACTGAAGCTCACACAGGAGAAATAGATAAATCAAATAAGTGTACATCTCTTAAAGAAATTGAGTAAATAATTAATAACTTGCAAAATAGAAATAACTAGACTCAGATGGTTTCACTGCTGAGTTCAACAAAATATCAAAACATTTAAAAAGAAATTCTAATAATCCTCTACAATCTCTTTCAGAAATGGAAGTGAGAATATACTCCCTAACTCATTCTATATTAGCACCACTCAAATACTAAAACCAAAGGTGTTAAAAGAAATTAAAATTACAGACCAATATCTCCTACAAACTCCAACAATGAATAAAATCAATTGTACACCATGACTAAGTGGGATCTATCCCAAG